CCACAACTCATATGGGACTAAACGGTCATAAATATACCCAGGAGCTAGGCTACAGTAGTAAATGTGATCAATAAGATTTTGCACTCATTCCTAAAACGTACTGGGAGCCAATTTTTTTTTATTTGGTGAATCTCTGCAGATTATTCAATCTCAACTCTGACTTTACCCATGAGCCTATGGACATTAACAAGTAGGCAGAGACTTAAAATCAAATAGATTGTTACTGACAGAGGTGCATTCTTGATGTTTTCTGCTTGTCCTCCTGCATATAAGTGGAGAAAAAGAAATATGTGGTTGATAGAGATTAAAAAACCATCACTGGAATAGAAAAATACCACAATTCCGCTCCTTTTTTGTCAGTGTTAATCCTGCACCCAAAAAGCGAATGACTGACGAGCATGTTACATGAACAGACGTCCGTTTTCAGTGGCATAACTAATTGCTTTTCTGAAAAGAAATCTCAATTTAATGTTTAATATGTAGCCAATATTCATTTTGGCAAGAAAATAAAAGTGCTTTCATATTTTATTTCAATAAGGTTATATTTTTAAAAGCTTTGAATGGTAAGAGCTGAATCAGTTGTCAGATAGTCGCACACCATGAAAATTAAGAAAGATTAATGTTAATTGAAAAAGCCCAAAGCAAAGGAAGTAAAAAGGTTAGACTGAGCTGTAACATACCTCTTCAGAGGAGACTTGGCTGTGAAACAGACGTTGCATTATACCAGACCCAGTGTTACTTCAGCTGAACTTTTGTGAGTCATTGTGTTGTCAACCATTCTTTGATTCTTCCAGTAAAAGAATCTTGACTGGTCCCAAGCCTCTACTGGAAATGCATCACTTCTTCTACTCTGTAAGCTGAGACATGGCTGATGCAATAGCAAATCACAAAAGCATGCCCATTTTCAAAAAAAAAAAAACCTCGTCTTCTTGCAAATCCAGACAATTTCCTCTAGACAGTTAAAACGATTAGTCATGAGTTCGCCTTGTATGTGAATTTTACTGTAAGTGCTTCACAAAGCCAGATGAAAGAGACCTATGTCACACGAGTGAACTCTGAATCTGAAAGAAAGATGTCCATTCAGCTTTTTTAGTAACAAATGGTTAATGTCTCTGTAAATTTTTTTTATCAAGTAGGTCAGTGTATTCTTGGCTCACACCGGCTGTTGCAAATTGATTAGCATCGTTCTTTGTTTGTTCTTCCTCTCATTTGACAGCTTCTAACTCCTTCTGGATAGCCATAAAAACACATTCACACAAGTGATTTTGCAGCAACGAGCATTCGACACTGTTGTCGTTTTCTAAACTCACCTCACAAATGAAAACCTGAACATTTTTTTGGGCGAAAGGCTAATGTGGAAATCAACCGTGGACCTTCATTCACTCAGGCTCTGCTGGGCTGACATTCAAAAGTTCTTTTTTGGCAAACGAAAGCACACACACACACACACACACACACACACACACACACACACACACACACACAGCCCCTCAGGGACTCTTGGAGGGGTCCATACTGTAGGCTATAGAAAGAGGGCCTCACTGCATATTTTATGGAAACCTCAGGGAACAGCTCGCAGTAAATGTAAAGGACATGACAGAGGACATTGGCTGGAACAAAGAAGAAAAACGTTTCCATCTATTTGTATTAAATTTCAACATTTGGGAGGACGAGCCACATCTGACGAGCAAAATATGTGCAAACACAATCATCGGGAGGAGAGCGGGGTCTAACATAAGCAACTTAACAAATATGCCGGGCCTCACACATGCAGAGCACGTAGATACCCTCCACATACATTCTGCTTCTCATTATGCTCCCTTACATGCTTCTCATTATGTCCAGGCCCTCCTTCCCCCAGTCCTATAGCCTTTTAGCCATTTACGTGTCAACAGAATTACCACGGAGAAGCGTCTCTGTCTCCGATGAACGTATACTCCTCTGTAGCCCTTTCTTCTGCGCTGATGTGTATGGATCTATATGTGATCCTTGGAGAGCTCTAAATGTCTCCCTTGTGGTGCTTACCTATTAATTGTGAGCGTTAACTAAATTACAGGAAAGAATTGTTGAAAAGTGCTACAGCTGTTTTTTTTTAATCAAACAAATTTCATTTCATATTGAAAATGGGAGACATTTTGTGCAGTTGAAATTCACCCTCCTCTCCTGTCTGCTGCCTCCTAAAAAACTGTGGCTAATCTCAAGGCAGCGAGTGTACGAGTCTGTCCTCGGCTGAACTTTGGGTGGATGAAATGGCAAATACACAGCTGAGTCCTGCTGCTGCGTAGCCTCCCTCTCTCTCCGTCTCCTTCTCTCCCCCTGTATCTTTCTGGTCAGCATTAGCTTGCTTTGCTCCGTTGCCTCCCACCTGCTCACAGCATGTCAACAAGTAAGATCTGAGATGCGACTGAGTCAACTTGGACTCGTATCAGGTCTAAATATGTGAGAGAAATGTCATTTATAATTCGCAACAGAGGAAGGAGAGAGACCAGGCTGCAGACAGAGATGCACAGGGACAAGGCTAATCAAGAGACACACATGTATGCAGATGCATACACACACAAACACTGACGCACACCCATGTTGTATAAACAGTAGGCAGTCGCAAGTTATCCGGTCATCTCACTCCTAATGAAAGTGCATCGATGACATGGATGTAAAAAGGGGGCTTTATTTCCGTGGCAACCGGTGCAACAGAAGCAGCAGGAAAACCAAAAATACTGCATTGCGTCATAGCGTTAAATCCCAGTGACTTGTTTTTGCATGGCCACAGCCTTCTTCACAATGCTCCAGAACGAAGTGCAAAACCAGGATGCTGATGATACCAGTGATCCCCAAAAGTAATTTTGTCTGCAGCTTTATAAGCCTCCAGAAAAGTCAAAATAATCTGTTCAACACCCTCCAGTGCAAAAGGCCATAGGCACCAGAAGTGTAACGTTACTATATGCAATTAGCCGGCTCACGTGACCACATGTAATTAGCTCAAGATGGATAGTAACCCTGAGATTATGGCTCTGGGTACATTTATACCCCCCAACATATTCTTTAATGACAGCATTAGGGGTACAGCTGGGGTGACAATATAATAAACTAAATTGTAGCTGATTAAAATGTCATTACATCATGGAAACCATGAATTGACATTTAGTGTTTGCTGTTTGGATACACATGCGTATCCTGCTACATACAGTATAGCTCATACTGTCTTTAGTGCCATGTCAGCCAATAGTAAAGATGTAAAGAGTTTAAATAATCAGAAGAACACACAGTTGTGACAAGAATTCCATGGAGACGACCAATTTTGTTAAGTACAACATCAAACACTCATCAGGACTTCACAGTACGTGATGTTATCTGACTGTTGCAGACTGTTGAATCACAATAAGGCAAACACTGTAAACGGTGGAATATACTGTGAGTGAAATATTATGTTGAAGTGCTTTTCTGTTGTTTGTCCTCCATTTGTTTGTGGACACTATGCAAAAGGCAAAAAAAAAATCCCTTGATTTGCATCCAAACCAAAATGTAATGGCTTCTTCACAGATCCAGGCCTCATCCCTCAAGGAAGTTTGATAAAGATTTGTTTTTCAGTTTTTGCCTAATCCTGCAAATACACCAACAAATAGACATGCGTGAAAACATCCTAGATAACAATACTGACAAGTAGATGGCATAAATGCATAATTTCTTATGCATCTGAACTTGTTAAGAATGTTGTGTTTCTGAATTACATGGACTGCAACCTCAGAATTTGCTAAATATTGGAGCCGTAATGAGCCAACTGACATTTGGTTGTGAATCCACTGAAGAGCGACTCGACACTGCCACAATCAAACTGGTTCTCTGGCGACCTCTGCAACCCAGGAGGTGTTCGGACATGTTATTGTATAGCTTCTATTTGCATGTATTTGCTTTCCATGATAGGGAAGGAAGTTGACTCTTGCAGGAGAATACAGAAGTGATGACAAATAATTTGGTGCCACAGCAGTTATCATAGCTGTAGATCCTTGCAGTCTGAGGTGATTAAAAAAATGAGTTACTGTAAGACCTATCTACTTGTTTTGTTACAAATCTGAGAAACACATTGAATGGATTGCATTAAATTACACCTGGCAGACTCGGGGTGAGATCTAGTCAGTAAGAGCCAGACTACCTCTGGAGGTCTGGCAGGCCTGATAAAACTCGGATCACACTTTGAATTTGGCAACAAATGGCACTTTAAGACCAGGTGTAACTGTGGTTTTTATTTTTATTTTCCTTTCCTCTTCTCATCTGTCATTTAATTTACCTTGTCAGGGTTAGTTTGTGGCAAGACCATATGTGGCTTACTCTTTGGTTTGCCTTGTCTTTTGAAAACCTGACTTAGTATAAAATCTGTTTTGGTTTTTATGTTTCTTCTGAAATATACAATACATTGTCAATGTGCTTGGGGCAAAACAGAGGATACAATGTTTTTTTTTTTTTCTCAGATGTTGAAATGTGATGCATAATCAGTGCACTGACGCACACTGTGGAAATTTACAATATGCATGAGTAAGAAATGTATAATCACACACAAAGAAACGTAATACTCTTCCCACCACTGACCTAACAACTTTCTGACACAATAGACCTGTAAGTACATTCAAATTATTGCCATGTTTAGCTGTGACAGCCAGCCAAGGCCAAACCGTCTCCTTAAATGCAATACAGCTGCACCATATTACTTATTCGTTTAAAGATATCAGTCCTCTAA